TGAGTTCTTCCTACCTCTCTCTTCCCTTGCCAGCTTCCTCATCCCAGGTTTTCCCCTGCCCTCTCCCACCCTCCCTCCTCCCCCTCCCACCTTCTTTCCCCAGTCTCACCTCAGTTTAATTCCCCCCACCCCCACCCCAGTTTTGTTCAATAAAGATGCTTTGTTCTAGTGAACAGGTATCTTTTATTGTACAGCAGGAAAGAGGGCTAGGGAGGGGTAAGTGGAGGACGTGAGGGAGGAATGAGGCACGAGCCCCCAGTGGGGCACACCAGGGAGACTGTTACTGCCTTCTGAACGTGCTGCCAGTCTTGCAGCAACACATTCAGGAGAAGCACCAGAGTACCCAGGGGCAGCTCCGGCTCCATGCTGCAGAGTGCTGTGGTGTCCTGAGTGAAGACAACCAGAGCACGCAGAGAAAAAAATGCTTTGCTGTCCCTCAGCAAGGTAGGCAAGCAAGCAGGGAAACCGTAGAACCGGCTGTCCGGCTGGGTCCCTTTAAGCACAGGTCTCAGCCACACAAGGTAACTCTTGACCTGATGCCTTGCCAGAACCAGTTCTGTCCAGTCTTAAATGTGATTTAGTTTCCAATCAGTGTGGACACACTATTTTGAAATAGAAAATCTCTATTTCGAAATGCAGTTTCTGTCTAGATGCGTTATTTCGAAATAAGATATTTGGAAATAACGCTGTAGTGTAGACATACCCTGTGAGATTTATGTTTTCTCAGGACACAGAAATGGTTAGGTAGAACAGAGACCAAAAACCAGAAAGGGAACTGCTTCCTAACAAAAGGTACTGGACAAAGTTATCTTTATTGGAGCTTAGTGGGATTGATGATGTGTTATATATCTGGTCAAAATTTGAGTCCATCTTTTAATCTTTTTAAACAAGAAAATAGCTTGAATCTGTCACTAGTTTCTTTGGCAGCTGAAAAGTGAGTTTTCACAAAGCCCCAAATTTGGCAAAGGGGTAAACAGTACTACACCAAAAGCAACTGAATGATTCAAGCTTACATTTTCAGACATGGCATCTGAAAATTAAGTCCTTTTATTTTTAATCTAGAAGCTCAGGGTACAGAACTCAGAGCTTTGAAATCATTTGGCAGCAAGGAATTTTGTAAACAATCCCTAAAGACAAAAGACAAGAGCAATTTGCTTCATAAGACATCTGTGTCACATTACAATCTCTAGTCTGATGAAATGGGTTGTGCTCACAAAAGCTCATGATACCATCTA